GATACCACTACCCAAGCAAATGGTTTTTCACTCGATACCACTACCCAAGCAAGGTTTTTCATTTGATACCATTACCCAAGCAAAAGGTTTTTCATTTGTTACCACTACCTAGGCAAGTAGACTAACAACATGACCAAGAATTTTATCAAGTGCTTTTAAAATACAAAAGAATGACTTGCATAGCCACCAGCTTCATCTTCCTTTTGTAACATAAAGCCAGAAGGAAAACGGCTGCTCCTTGTGAGTCCAAAGCCATGTTAACCATATTGTCAGGTAATCTACACAACTAATTACCAGCCATTTTCTCCCTTAAGAGAACTAGCATGCCTCTCCCAAATTTTCTGTGAACAACCTTGAAAGGGAAAATTACCTGCTCCAGGTTGCCGGTCAGGATGATAGACATGTAAGGCTGTAGGCCTTGTCATGCCTCCTTTGATGCTGACACGGTCATCCCCAGAATCCTTCTTACAGTGGTCAATACTATGCTGCTGCCAGTCGCTCCAATATAGCCTATCACCAAACTGTGTCAAAGCATAAGGATGATACACCCTTGTGCGATCAACGAGCACCCTTCGATTCTGACCATCCAATTGGGATTTCTCAACCTTATCTGTGTTGGCATCTGCCCAATACAGCATGTTATCACCATAGTCTAAAGTAAGTCCATTTGGCCAAACAATGCCTGAATTTACAAGAACTTCTTTGTGTGTACCATCACTCATTTTAGCTCTCAGTAATTTTGGCTCAGTCCCCCAATCTGTCCAATACACTTTATCATCTGCTGGATCAAGCACAATTGCTCTTGGTTTGTCATGACCTGTGGCAATCAGTGCCTTTCGCTGTGTACCATCTAGATTTATAACACCAATAATCTTCTTGTTTGCATCAGTCCAAAAAAGCTTACGACCCATCCAATCAACGGCCACATCTTCTGGGATTCCTAAGTCTTCAACTATAAAATCTTCAATATTCACAGGATCAAGCCCATCACTTATATGCACCCTTTGAATTTTCTTAACACCTATGTCAGACCAATATATCATTTGTGTTTTTATGTCAAAATCCAAACCAACAACATTTGTCAAACCTCGCACAACATAGTTGTAACCAGTTCCATCAAGACTCACTCGCCGGATGTCCACAGTGTTGCCAAAAATTAGGAAAGGCTCTGCATTGAGAGACGTTGACGATGGAAAAAGGCAGATAAGAGCTGGAGAGGAAGAAGCAGGTCACATTAAATGAGATATTTTTTTGGTATAGGCCAGGACTCATAAGTCTTTATTATATGTACAAATCTAAGCTACATGATCCAGGTAAAGGCAACAGAAACAATTTGTCCCTGTATTCGTCACAACAACTCAAGCTGGCTTACATGATGCCCCATGCATTAACACCAACAAAAGAGACCTAACTGTCTATGAATGAAAATCAGCAACAGAAAACTGAATTTTAGATGGAGTTCAAGTAACCTCTAATTTGTATTTTTATTGTACTGAATCTGAAGTGAACAAACATCAGTTTAAACAACTTTTATGAAGAGAACAATTTTAGACTGCATTTAACATAACAGCTTAAAAATATGTTTTAACCTTTGGGTGAACAGGGTATTATTTTTCATCTGAATTTTTACACTCATTTCTTGTGACAAACAGACCCCACTAAAATCAATCTTATAATACATTTAATTTAAACTTCCAGAGAAAGAACCAAAACTAAAATCATACTCTACACAGTTGTCTCCTTCTGACTACCTTTGAACATCTTCAAAAGCAAAGTAAATACATTTTTTACTCACCAAAACAAATGAGTATTCCAGTTTTTAGAAACCTCGAAAGCAAGATCCGGTAAGATATCATTTTCTTAGTTTCCTGTAAACATAAGGCGCATAAAACGTCCGTTAGTTCGAAGAAACGTTTTAATTATTCAGCAGAGAGAGAAGGTTTTACTAAGGAACAAAGGAGCAGGCACAAAGAACCTTGAACTTTTGATGAACAATAGATTTTCAAACAAAGAGGGTAGAACAGATAGTTTTTCAACCTATTTTATGCGCATACCGAGATACGGGAACCTAATAGGAACATCGATATCGAACTGAACATGTGATTTTTTTCCCCTTATGAACTGTCACTACCTCAACTTTGTCAAAAAGTGAAGTTAGGCACGCGATGTGCAAATAGAGTAAAGAACTACAAGTTTATCGCGTAGAATAACCTATTACGTGATCAGAAAAATATATATATATACTAAGTGTTCTCTTTATCTGGCGTTTTAGTTAAACTCGTATGCCATGAAAACAGACTCGATGCCATGAAAATTTGATGTTCATGTGGGATTAATTATAAATTTACGAAATAAACATTTGCCTTTAAACATCCGACTTGTACAACATGCAACTACAACCAAAGGGACCAAAAACAATCACTTAAAACAAAATTTACACCAAAAAGATGTTGGATCGTATCAAATAAGTGTCCATTACATGCCAACAGCGCGAGCGAATATCGTTGTCTTGGTAAGCAACCATAGTCATGCATGGAAACAAAATAACATTCAGTCTGCACATTGTACTCACAAAACAGCTATAATTCTTGAGCTTGCTCAACGCAAAGACTTTGTTGTTCCGTCAGGTTGACGACAACAGTGATGGTACGGTAGTTGCTGCCACTTTCTGGAGGAAATGTTTTTGCAGACGTTCTATTTCCGGGGTGAAGACCAGGGCATAACAAGAAGACAGGCATCAATACTTGTATGCCCATATTATCGATCGCTTCGAAAGTAAACAAAACTAAAACAAAGAAATCCGACCCCCTAATCAACAAAATGCCAAAATTAGGATCGATTCTCAGTGATGACAGGTTTGTTCGCCTATTTACTGTTGATATTGCTCTTCCCCCTTTGTGCACAAAACGGAAGGAAAAATTTAGACACCACAAAATATTGATCCGCAAAAATGTAAATCCCGCGATTTGGTTACAAACGCGAAAGGTTCCGAATCGGTCTCGAAGATGATCCTGAGAGGAAAAATGATGTTCGACAAGTCTCGGTTAAACTCGGAAGATAGTCGATAAACTGCAGGCATCGTATTAGGACTGGTAACAAATCAATTAGCCCTCTGTCCGCTATCGTACCAGACATTTCAGCATTATTTTTCAAAATTTTTTACAGCTAATTCTGTAGTTCAGATCTCTATAACAAGTTTTGGAACTAAAATGGTATGTTAAAGAGGATTTCTCACTACAAAATTTATATTTTCTATCAATCTATCTACCGCTTATTCGTGTATTTTATGTTATTAATGTTAAGCTTGAATCGCTCTACAAGCTAGCTTACATGACAAGTTTGCCTTTCCACAGTCGATCACTGTTGATGTATATTCTGATTTGTCCTGCCCTTGGTGTTACGTGGGCAAGAGGCGGCTCGACAAAGCCATTCAGCAGTATACTGAAGCTGGTATCACTGTACATTGGCATCCCTACATTATTGACAAAAATACTGCCGAAATGGGAGAGGATTACATGGCATACAATACCAGAAGGTAAAATTGTGACACCTAATTGGTCGATTCATTCACTACTTTTTCAGTTTCTTAACCCTTTGACCCTTGAAGGTGACTAACATCTAATTTCTCCTTACAATATCATCCCTGAAATGCATATTAAGGTCTTGAGAATAATGGAAATGATCACCTGCTAGGATGAAAGGTGATTGTTAAACAAATTCTCCTTGTCAGCACCTAAGGAATTGTATAGACTACAGAGTGGAGAATATGCATACTTATGATTGGTTGTAAAGGGTTAAAAAGACGGCATATCTAGAAACATGATGAGAAGGACAAACAATCCTTTGGTTGCAGGGGAGGGGAGAATGCTACATCAAAGATCTGGGAATACCTGTTGGGAATAAATAAATTTCCAATTCAATTCAAAAGGAATAATGGAATTAATTACTTTTACATTATTTGCAACTATTAATTCACAATAGCTCAACATCTCTATAACTTGCATCCTTGAGTGTGATTAGGAAAATCTACTTTTCTTCCTCATGCGAGTCCTCTCCATATACAAGGATGACACAAACAAACACACACACACAGACACCCAAGCTGATAAGCAATGGTACAGAGGATGGATAGTTTAACAGTTGTACAGCATTTTTTCAAAGGGTGTATAAGACTGCCTAAGGGCTAAATCTTTGCTTGGCAGATGGGTGCCAATAAATGAGGGCAGCCAGTTACCTTCTGGAAAGCCATTTGATCATTTTAGAAAATGATCCAGAGTTGAAACAACAAGAGGCAGAAAGACAGACAGACAGACATACAGTCAAGCAGACAGATACATGTAGATAGACAGATAGCTAGACAGACTTATGCACAGACAAACAAACCAACTCATAGACAGATGCTGTCAGATAAAAAGACAAATGAATAAATTTGTTGCTAGGTTGTGCAGTAACCAATCAGTTTGACCACTCAGAGTGTAGTAGAAACTAGCAGACTGACCAAATGACTCTCACTCCCTCCCCTACTAATCCTATTAGGAGGCAACACAGCCAAATGGTTAGGGTTCTGGACTTGTAATCTGGTGGTCCTGGGTTCAAGTCCTCCACCCTGCCAATCACTGAATTTGGTTCAAGAACCCTGAGTTCAACTCCTTGGCTGTGCTGTTTAAATAGCCAACTGGTCTGCCTCCAGCCAGTTGTGGTTTTCAAGCAATTTATGTTTATTTCAGTCATTGTAAAGCACTTTTTGATAGCGATAGAAATAGGGCTATATAAATAAAGTATTATTATTGTTGAATGATGGACTTACTGATTAAATTTAGGTGGGGAGGTGATGGATGGACACGATCACTCAGAAGGGCTGGACAACAGGATGGATTAGGATTCAAAAACTGGAAAACATGGCCAAATTCTTTACATGGTCACCGCCTCATTCACCTGGCTGGGATGCAGAAAGGACCGGAAGGACAAGGCAAAGCTAAAGATCTCCTACTGCGCATGATTTATGAAGATGGCAAAAATGTTAGTGACACTGGTACACTGATTGAAGCTGCTAAAGAACTGGGCTTGGAAGGTGCAGAGGACTATCTCAAATCTTCCTCTGATGTAGATTTGGTTTTGTCTCAAGATTCATTTGCAAAATCTCAATTGAGAATATCTGGTGTGCCCTACTTTGTCATATCAAGTGACAATAGAGATAAGAAGACAATATCTTTGTCTGGAGCCCAAGGCACTGAGCAGTTTTTAGCAGCATTTAGTCATATGACAAAATAGATGCCATTGGACATGTAATTATGAACAGTTGTGACAATTAACTACTGTAAAAACAATTGCCAACTGATCAGTCAGAACTCCACTTGTGTTAGAGATACATGATGTACTGGGTGATAGAGGTGATAATTGATGTGATAGATGTGATTGATGTGATAGAGGACACATGATGTACTGAGGCTTAAGTGGGTAATGTATATTGACTGCAGCCATAATTTAGTGTGAATCCTCTACAGCCATGGGGGGCAGTGGCTCTTATCTAACTTTCTTGTCCTTGCAGCAATCAATGTCAGAATCCACACAACAAAAATTTTATTTTCTGAAAAGACAATTTTATTATTGAATAAAGGGATAAACAACTCAAAGGGTAATAATTATTGCACTTAATGCTGGACACTGTTTTTGAATGATGAATCTAATATAATATTGGTTGCAACTCATCACTTAAATAAATAGTTTCAACAAGTCATGGAGAAGCTTTGCTCTCAATCTTTCTCAAAAAACTTTTAGTGGTCCATTTGTTGGCAGTTCAAGAACAATCATACCAGTTGAGTAGCCCTGAAGCGAGTGATTTGAAATAAGGGAATCCGTGTGTTTGCAATTAACATATATTGAGCATCGGACAGAAGTCCTCTATGCAAGTTTCATGTTGTCCACTATGTACACACTTCAGTTAAACCCACAGTTAATGGTCCCAGGGCTTCTTGCAACTTTGCACCAGTTTTTCACTGTGGAGTAATTTTGCAAATTTTAAATCGGAACCATTTACGAGATGTAACACCTCTCTGCCTGCTAGACACACTCTCTGAGCTTTCTTTCTCGGTGTCTTCTTCGCAGTTGGATGTACTGTTCCATGAAGAAACGGAATTGGAAGACTGTGCTGCAGAACTACTCTTTTCAATCCTCTGATCTTTAGGCGTTTGGGCAACATCGTTTTCATTGCAACTAACGCTGGATTCTTCAGACTCTACTAAAGTACTGGAACTATCCCACGAGTTGGTAGAGGGAGGAGTCCTTGCCATCACGTGGAGCTCGTTTTGCACTTTCACAGTGGTTGACTTACTCACTCTGTAGGGGCGATGAAATCTTAGTCTCCCCAGATCTTCCTCAGAGGATGTAGAGCTATACCACGGCGTAACAGCAGCAAGTCTTGGAACTCCAGCTACGTACTCATTTTTGGTTTCATCCTTCCCGTGATTATCTCCCACGGTGGTTGAAGAGCCCGATGAGTTCGTGGAAGAACTCCTTGTCTTTGTTACCCTCGTTTTTTCCTGGACTGACAGGACATATCTGAAGTGAT